CCCCCCCCCCCCCGGGGAAGGCCCCCGAAATGGGTCATACGGCCGTACGTACGGCCCGTACGACCGCCTGGTGGGTCGTACGTACTCCCCGTATTCGTACGGGGGGACACATAGCACTCCATTGATGATGCACGCAAGAAGGAGCTCCTAGCCTTCGTCCAGGCGCTCAAGCGGTGGCGGCACTTCCTCCTTGGTTGAAGTCAATTCCGATGGGTAACGGACAACAATCCGTTGGTCTTCTACAAGACCCAAGACACCCTCAATAGCACAATCGCCCGTTGGATGGCTTTCATCGACCAATTCGACTTCTTTCCCGTTCATATTCCCGGGAAGTCTAACCGTTTTGCGGATGCTCTTTCACGGCGTCCGGATCATTGTACCGCAGTCTATTCGACCTTTGAGATCGACGACGACCTGCGGGACAGCTTCAACCGCGGCTACCAAGTCGACCCCGAGTTTCACGACAAGTACGTGAATTGCTTCTCTCCTAATTCGGCGCCTTCTCACTACCGGATCCAAGAGGGGTACTTACCGTACTTGCTTGTCCACGCGCGGGGGAAGGACCTTCTTTGCGTACCGAGTGACTCTCACTTGCATACACGGCTTCTTGGCGAGTTCCACGATGCTCCCGCCACCGAACACTTTGAAGTAAATCGAACGATTGGCCGACTTCGCGAGCGCTTTTGGAAACCCGACTTTCTCGGCGACGTCACACACTATTGCGATTCATGCGAGGTTTGTCGACGTTTCAAATCCCGCAACCATCGTCCGTACGGGGATTTGCGACCATTACCGGTCCCCTTGCGCGAGAGGGAAGCGATTGCCATGGACATTACCGGGCCGTTCCCCAAGCACAAGACCGGTGTGGATGGGATTCTCACGGTGGCCGACCGACTCACCAAGTTTGCCATGTTTTTGCCTTGCCGCTATCATGCCAAGGCACCGGAGTTTGCCGAGGTTCCTTACGCCAGTTAGATTCGAACCAAGGGTTAGCCCAAGGAAATCGTCTGCGACCGCGACACTCGGTTCATGTCCGATTTTTTATTGGCACTCATCAAACAATGAGGCTCATATCTCATGCCGAGTTCGGCTAGCCACCCCCAAACCGATAGCCAAACGGAGAGGGCGCATCAGACCGCACAGGTTATCCTTCGCACTCTCATCCGTCCCGACCAACAGGATTGGGTTGAGCGGCTGCCGGATGTCGAGTTAGCATACAACTCGTCCATCCACCCAGCTATCGGGATGTCACCCTTCGAGTTTGAGCACGGCTCACCGGTCACTTCTCTGTTGGACAGAATCATTCCACGAGCGACCGAGAGTAATGACCATCTTTTTTTCTTGCGTCGGATGCAAGAGCTACTTATCAAGGCACGCGACTAGATGGCTAAGACGCAGCAACGCATGAGCCAACAGGCCAATCGCCAGCGTCTTCCTTGTTCATTCCGCGTCGGCGACCTCGTTTGGGTTTCCGTCGCGGAGTCCAGCCTCGAACAAGATATCTCTCGAAAGCTCCTCCCGAAATGGATGGGGCCCTGGCCTATCGTGGCACCCGCCGGGGATGCACCCGAATGACCTTCCTTCATCACTCAGGTGCCCGCCCACTTGCCCGTCTACCCGGTCTTTCATTGCTCCAAGTTGGCTCTTTACACACCAGCAGAACATGACGAATTTCCCGAGCGACGATTGCAAGATCCACCCTCTATGGACGGTTTTCAAAAGGTCGGCGACATCATCTCCCAGCGACGCTATGGCAACACGCCGACCGAATACTTGGTACACTTTGCGTACTGCACCCACAAAGCTGACCGGGTTGACCCGTGCGGAACTCCAAGCAACAACTCCAGATGTTCTCGCACGCTACGAACACAAGATGCAAGGCAAGCCGGTATCTTCGGCTCCACGTCGCACCCGCGTCCAGGTTCCACCTTCAGATCGTCAGCTTCGCCCTCGACCCGGCTTGACTTCATAAGGAGGGGGGGGTGTTACATGCTGCGCCTGCAAACGAGGGCCATTTTCAGGCCCTGTGTCGTTTCAGCCTGAAAGCCTGAAAACAAGGGCCTATAGGCCCTGTGTCGTTTTAGCCTGAAAGCCCGAAAACAAGGGCGACAGGCCCTGTGTTGTTTCAGCCTAAAAAGGGCCCTCCGGGCCTCCGGGCCTTGAGTCTTTTCAGCCTGAAACGGAGGGCCATTTTCAGGCTCTCATAAGATCGACCTAACCTGAAACTTAGGCATCAAACCAGGGTTTTAACACAGGCCATTTTGGGCCTGTTTTCAAGACAACCTTTGTTTGAGCTTCAACGCCAGGGTCTGGCACGTTTTGGCATTGGCAAGAGCAGCCTCCTGGATGGGCCAGCACTATATAAGACTGGCCGACCCTGCAGGGTGTAGGTAGTTTATAGGGACTTCCCAGACACTTCACGTGCAGTTCAGGAGGCAGGAGGTAGTCTTCAGGATTCGGCAGCGGCACTGTGGAGGAGCGCTGCAGTAGTAGTAGTAGCGTTAGCAGTAGTCTTCAGCGCTGGGCGCTATTAGGAGCTAGAGTAGCACTGGAGAGAGATAGAGATTGGGCGGAGGCCAGGGAGACTTACCTGAAGCGCCATAGCTCCAACTCATCGTCGAGGTACCTGCCAGCACATTGCCATCTTCACAGGTTAGTACCTGGCACATGTGTGTGTGTGTGTGTGTGTGTGTGAGAGAGAGAGAGAGAGAGAGAGAGAGAGAGA